GAGTACGCCAGCTAAACTAATCCTATTTCCCAGAGCAAGGAAAGTACAATTGAAAATAGACTTACAAGTCTTAACACCACCACCAAATTATTGCTTAGATACAGCCACTGCCAGACTGCAGTACACAACACCACTCAAGATAGGACGAAAACCATTACAATTATTGGCAATAGGAACAGTGTTAGCTGGTGCATTGCTTGGAGGAATTATGGGAAGTGGAGTTTCAGCAGCAATGATACAACCTATTAAAGCTCAGCTTTTACAAATCAATCAGTTGAACATACAGACTTCAGAAGCATTAGCAGCTCTTACTAATTCAATTGATGCCTTAAATATTATAACTCAACAAATGAGAGCAGAAACAGAAATCTTGAGGAAAGAACAAAATAGGAGATTTGATTTACAACAGGATCAGATTTTGAGAAACCACAATGGTCTTATGTGTGTGCAATATAAAATGACAATAGATAAAATGATAAGAGAACTAGACACTTTGTTCATTACAGGATTAGGAAGAAGAACACCAGAATTCCAATCATTACTTGACCCAACAGAACATAGTTTTTGTGAGGAAGGAATATGCATGATAAATGTCCTGCAGATCTTTTTAGACAATGCATATGCAGCGTATCATACGAGACCTATACCACAATTATGGTCACAAAAGAAAGACCCTTGGAGCTCATTACAGTCAAGATGGATTACACCATTAGATCATTTCCTATTTATATCTATAAATGGAACACCTGCATATGTACCACAAGAAGATTGTTATAGTTTAGGCACTAACACCTTTGTGTACCCACACATGCCCACAACCAAACTTACAGAAACACGTTTGGCACCAACAACTATGACAGACACAGTACAATCTATGGGTGACTGGACATTTTTAGTTTGTACTAACAATGACACCAAAGTTTCTTGCATAAATTTGAATGAAACAACTTATGATGACACAACTACAGAAATTCTAATACCACCAGGATGTTGGATGATTCATAATTGTTCAATTTTACAGAAAGGTAATGAAACATGGGTAACAGAAATATCTATACAATCAATTCATTTATATAGCACACCAAAATTATTCTTAGAAGACCTAGAACAAGAACATTATAAGGAATTCATAAAGAAGAATCAGGAGATACAAAAGATATCAGAACATAATCAAAAACAACTGGACTCCATACATAAGAAAATAATGTCACAACAACATACATTAACTAGATCCCAGGAAGAAATACATCATTTAGTAGGATTGATAAGGACAAATACAATCCTACCCAAAACCTGGAATACAGATATTAAGAAATGTACTTTCTTTGATTTTATGGCAAGACTTATTCAGCTTGATTTTGTATGTACACCACTATATCATTGGTGGGAATACATTAAGGAAGGACTATACATTGTTTCATTAGCTTTCCTGATGATTTTAATCTTAAAACTCTTTTTCAGAATACTTAGAAAGAGAAGATTCAGGAAATATAAGGCTCCAAAAAATGCATAGAGTGATAAGGCAACAGGATAAGTATGAGCAGGATTGGTATTGTTATAATTGTTGGCTATTCCAATTTTATTATCATTATTATTTGTTTTCCTTACAACTTAGTTATCATAATGGACACCAGCAGTTTACACCATACCATAGAAATGTGATGAGACGATGTGAAGTATGTGGAAAAAATATCAGAGTGAAACATAGAAATTAAATATACTTAAACAAGCTATTTTTCAGAAAATGCGACACAAAAGAGAATACAACGAATCTGGACGAAAATGTGATCTGATGCAAAAAGGAGGACCCCAAATTACCTTGAGACATTACTATAGAAAGCATTGTGAAATGTTACATGATTTATTTAGAAATATGGGTTTGATTTCTAGAAGTGAAATGGAAAGATTGTATTGTCATTTTTGTAGGTATAAGTTTTCAACTCGCTTTTTGTCAGGCATTGCTAAAGATGACAGATTACTTTTATTGTTACACCATTTCCTGGAACATGGAGAACAATGGGTAGAAAGCCACCCAATAGAAAGATACTTACACATTATAGCAAGCCTATTTGCATGCTACATATGTAAAGGCAGTTACCCTCAATACATGCTATGCAAGAATTTGATTAGACATGATCCAGAAGAAGCACACAAACTCTTGGAGGGTGATTGGTATTGTAAGAACTCCTTCGAAAATAAATACATTCCAGGATCATTACAATCATGGTGTACTAGAACATTATTAAAGCCTGTTTTGCAAGATTTATTGTTTGAATATTCAGCTTATATGACTTGGTATGAGAATAATAGAATCTATAGAAAAATGAAAAAAATATATCTTCCAAAAGGGTTACATCAGCCGATCTCATTGATTACAAGAGGAACATCTAGAGAAAGCTATTAGATGCGCCGCAAAGATTTTGTAAACCCCTGTTTTACACAACCAGCTGGGACCCTCTTGTTAATGAGGGGCCCTAATAGTGACACCTTTTATGCTGAGATCATCTCAGGTGTCAGGGGGTGGAATGTAATGAGCATTGTGAGCAGCCATGAGCTGACAGACTAATGTGACAGACATTACAAGCAGCCATCAGCTGACAGGCTGTGGTAACCAGATGATAAGGCTAAGTAGCTCAAAAGTGTGACGTGTGAGTTTGCAGTGAAAGTAAGATTAAGGTTTGGAATTTCCCCGATGAGGTAATGTACAGACGCTCAGGCGTCAACCTCAGATTAAGAGTGTGTTAAGATAGGATAAGGAATTATAAGAATATAAAAGACCAACTCAAACCCACTCATGTCGTCCGTCCGACCGATCACCATCGACCATGTCGAGACGAGACCTGATCTGAGCGCTTACCGGTCCCCGTGTTCGTGACTACGTGGATCCGGAACTCTGCCACTCGAGACCGAAGACGTCGCAGCTCGACCCTGCTGCCGAGCCTCGCCACGGACTTTGATTGTCAGGTCGTATACCCTGAATGATGTGTTGTGAGTGGGGTGAAAAAACAGCCACATGTGGTGACATATGCCTGTAGTCTGTAATGAGCATTGTGAGCAGCCATGAGCTGACAGACTAATGTGACAGACATTACAAGCAGCCATCAGCTGACAGGCTGTGGTAACCAGATGATAAGGCTAAGTAGCTCAAAAGTGTGACGTGTGAGTTTGCAGTGAAAGTAAGATTAAGGTTTGGAATTTCCCCGATGAGGTAATGTACAGACGCTCAGGCGTCAACCTCAGATTAAGAGTGTGTTAAGATAGGATAAGGAATTATAAGAATATAAAAGACCAACTCAAACCCACTCATGTCGTCCGTCCGACCGATCACCATCGACCATGTCGAGACGAGACCTGATCTGAGCGCTTACCGGTCCCCGTGTTCGTGACTACGTGGATCCGGAACTCTGCCACTCGAGACCGAAGACGTCGCAGCTCGACCCTGCTGCCGAGCCTCGCCACGGACTTTGATTGTCAGGTCGTATACCCTGAATGATGTGTTGTGAGTGGGGTGACATCCAGACTGCTTGTTAGCAGAATGGGATGGCACTATGTATACTTTTATGGCAATTGCTGTGTTCGCCCTATTTTGGTCTTGCTTCTGTGTGGCCCTTGACAATAAAGAGAAAAGTGAAACTGAGATACCTCTCGCAGTCGTTACTCCATGCCGAGATCCCGAAAGTGAAACCGGTGCTCGTGACAGTTGGCGTAGTCGGCAGGATCTCGGCTGGAATTTATCTGGCATCCCGTAAGGTAAACTTTTAGAATTTTAAAAAAAAAAAAAATATAGGAACTCTCTTAACTGGTCTTAGTGCTGTCAATCAAACAAGTGAGTACCAGACTCCACGAAGTCAACCCAGACTCCGGTCTGGGGAAGAACGGGTTATTGGAGCAGGGAAAACTTGAACGAGCGATTACCAAGACTCCACGAAGTCAACTCAGGCGAAAGCTTGAGGAAGAACGGGTTATTGGAGCCGGGAAAGCTTGCCGAAAACACCACCCTCCTTAAGGGTGTGAAAGTAGGCGCCGGACGCCCCGAAGCCAACTCAGGCGAAAGCTTGAGGAAGAGCGGGTTATGGATGCGCATGGCGAATTTACATTCAATTAATTTTTGTAAGGCATTGTTTTAGCCCGTTGGGTACAGCAATGTAAAAATAAATTCCAACATGATTATTTTCTATTATAGAAAACAAACCAATGCGGAGGTTCTTAAGCAAAAGAATTGAAAGATCGGCCGATATTAAATTTGACAAATTAATAAACGCAAAAAATATTGGTAACTGCCAATGGTATCTCAGAAAAAGGGAAATCAAGTTTTTATATTGGATAGCTGAAATTCTTTGGAAATGAAAAGATAAGACCAGGCCAATTATAGTTAGGGGTGTCAAAAAAGAGTCGAGTGAACAGAGACCTGAAAAAGCCTCGTGGTGAACACTACCCCGGTTTTTCCTTGGGACAAGACTATTTCAAAATCGCTACAACTTCGTTTGCCGCCAACGTATCACAAACATTAAAACATTTGTAATTTTAATATATTACAGACAAGAATCTGAGATCCAGAATTAAGGCGATTAGAAGATTCCAAAGCGTGTCCCTGCCTCGATGGCACTGGCTTCCTAATAATATTAAAAGGAGAACGTGTGTTCCGAGAGTTTTGAGCACGTGGCAGCCTCCGTTTAGGGTTTCTGACAACCGGCTGAGATCTGCGTTGTTCCTTCCCACCCCTCTTTCCTTTTCCAAAACCGTAACCCAAGCTTTGAGTCTAGAAAAAAGAAAGTAGTAGGCCGCACTTCCATCCAGCTCGCTTCTCCCGGAATTCACGGTTAAGATCCAATTTGCAAAACAATTTCCGGGAAAGAGCCAAACTACGGGTGCGAAAAAGCAAGATAGAAGCCAAGCTACATCGGAAGCCAAGCCCTACGACGCGCGCGGCGTTGGTTTTGGGAGGCGCAGGATTCGCGATTATCTTTTACGTCACTTCCGCCACCCCAAAACGGGCGTCTGTAAATGACGTTGCAATTTCCAGGTCACTGAGGCCGCGGCTGGCGGCGCAAACGTCGCCGTTTGCTTGTGTTCAGTCTATGGAGTCAGTTGGTGCCGCCGGCGGCGCGGAGGCAGGTGGCGGTGTCCAAGTGGGGTTCTCTGCCCCGCCAGGATGTTGCCGGGCTTGGCCGCCGCCATTGCGGCCCACAGATGCAGTTGCTCTTTTCTGTGCCGACTGCGTTTGAGCTGCAGGGCAGCGGTCCGCGTCTTCAGCGACCGCCAGGGTGAGTATCCACGCCTGCCTCTGGTTCCGCGGAAGCCGAACGGCCCAGGTCGGACTTGGCGCTGTTCATCAGCTTCTCTTCCCCAACCCCACGGTCTTCCTTTATGGTCTCCACTTGTAAGGTCCACCCACCTATCTCTGAAGGGTCTTTCCTGGCACGTCTTATCTTGGCCATGCCTGCAGCCCTAGCACAGCACCCCCTGGAATTTTTGGGCTGCTGGGGGCAGGTTTCCATCTCTGAAGCCGACCACTTTGTACCAGACAAAACGTTACGTGCGTGTCGTGGTGTCCGTGATGATCTGCCTGTCAGGTGGAAATGGCGGATCCCGCAAAGTTTCAGGGTATTCTGAGCTCACTGAAAATGAGCTCAACCTTCATTTTGCACTTTTGGCTGAGACGTTTTTTTCTCTGTTCTCACACTCTGAACTTTTTTTTTTTTTAATTTCCTAAAAGGAGTGGGGGTTGTCACACATAAAAGGTTTTTTCTTAAGAAGTTGAAGGCATCTCATATTCTTTGAATAAACCCAATTTTGGACCTCAAAACAAAAGAATTCTTCAGTTCCACTGAACAGTCTTTTTGGTGAAGATTTGTCTACTGGAACTGTAACCCAGAAAGAGGTGATTGATCAGAAATTTGGTCCTTCCTAAAATACTCTTTTCTGACTCAAGTTTAAATTGTTCAAAAGGTTCCCAAATAACATTGAACCTGAGTATTCTAATCAGGTTTACCTTCGTCTTTGCTGTAGCCTGGTACCGAGAATAGACGCAAAGAGAAAGAAATCCACCCTTAATCTAACCTCTCAGATTCTTGGGAATGCAGAATTTATAGAAACTTTCCTTCAAAATTCATGACTGAAAACTTTTAGCGTGTTTGTGACCTCCCAGTAGAAGTTGGAAGTTACAATTATTCAAGTTTTTAGCTTCTTAACATTTCAAATGGATTTAACATCATTGTTCTTGGGACTTTTGAGTAATTGTTGAGTTTTCCCATATTAGCAGTATATGGGACAAGTATACTTGTTCTCTGATGAACAGAATGAATTACGTGCTTATCTGCTGTGCTCCAAAGTACCCAAGTATTCTAATATAATTGCTTCTATGAACTTAGAAATTTGGCTTTTTACATTGAAAGTACATATAGTATCTGTTAAATTTAAATCGTCCCCCCAAGTAAATAAATTTAAATTGTCCTTTAAATGTGGGTAAAAGAAATTGAAGGTGTAATTTGTAATCCCTCCTCTGTAGGTGTCATGTCAAAATTTCATGCCCCCCCCATCTGCAGACATGGTCCCTTGCTATTAGTTTAGACTTGCCTTGAACTCACTATGTAACCCAGGCTGGCCTCAAATTTAAAGCAACCCTCCTGCCTCAGCCTCCCAAGTGCTAGGATTACAGGTGTGTACCACCATGCCTGGCAATTATATACTTTTTGTCTTGTCTCTTTGAAATACAGGTAATAATTACTTGTTTCACCAGTCAGAATGACATTGCAAAGATATTGGGAATGTTTATTACCACAAAAAATTAAAATGTGCTTTCACACTTAAAAACATTTATTAGATTAAAAAATAATTCTGTGGAAATTTTGTTTCAATAATACTGAAATACTTTCTGAAAGGCAACCATGATTTTGGTAAAATTTAAAAACTGGAGGGCCGGGGATTTAGCTCAGTGGTGCTGACACCTGCCAGGCAAGTGCAAGGTCCTGAGTTCGATCCCCAGTACCGAAAAAAGAAAAACAAAACTTAAGAAAGAGTACTACTTAAATTGAATGCATGTGAAGAGAAAAGATAAGAACTGTTGGAGAAAAAAAGTCCCAAAACACATTTTTCTTTGGAAAAAATAAAATTTCATTTTTTGCTGCTGAAATGTCTGTGGCTGGGAAAGGCTTCTAAGAGAAACACTTGTTTTAGTTGAATACTTAAGGATGAGAAACAGCTTTAAAGGGAAGAAAAGCCTGGGTGTTCCTGTGTGCACCTGTAATCTCAGCACTCTGGGAGATTTAAGCAAGAGGATTGCAAATTTGAGCCAGCCTGGGCAATTTAGAGACTTAGTGAAATCCTGTCTATAGTATAGGGGGATAGGCTAGAATAGGCTAGGATAGAAATAGATAAGCTGGAAAAATAGGTTGTGTGAAGTCTCTGAGTTCAATCCCTAGTACTGAACAAAAAAGAATCAAGAACAGTGCTGTCCACAAGAAATATGAGGAAATTAAATCACAGACACACACACACACACATACATACACACACACAAACACACACACTTTGAGTTGTCTGGTAGTCATTTTAAAAAGTAAAAATAGAGGGGCAATGTTGTTCAAGCCTCTTAAGTCCAACTATGTGGGAGGTTGATGGTAGGAGGAACACATATTCAAGCCCCCTCTGGGCAATTTAGTGAGACTGCCTCAAAAAAATAAAACATTGCTTGGGATGTAGCTCATTGCTCCATGAGTACCTCACTGTGGTACCCAGGTTCAGTCTCCAGTATTGGAGGAAAAAAAGTAAAAGTAGATTAAATTAATCTTAGTATGTTTTACCCAATATATTAAAAATATTTTAACATACAATGATTATAAAAAATTATTGAGCTATTGTGAATCTCCTTTTTGTATTAGCCTTCAAAATTCAAAATCCAGTTTGTATTTTACACTTATAGCACATCTCTGTTTGGGATAGCCACATTTCAAATGCTCAACATATAATGACTAATATCCCTAATTTGTAAAGTTTTACAGACCGGTGTGTATTCTAGTAGGAATATGGCAAAGGAAATTAAAATGAAGTCTGTAAAGAAGTTCCAGTGGCCGATAGAAATGCAAAGTTGTGTTCTCAGGAGTGTGGACATACACACTTAAAGAATTTTTTACTGCCTATCTTGTATTGGCTAAGGTTTTATAATGATGATACCCACATTGAGGGTACAGGAAAACAGGAACCCTCTTACTACTAATTGGGAACATATAGTTCAACAGTGTTTTGAGAAGTTATTCTATAAAAAGAACTTTTAATTAATGTATTTATTTATTTATTTGGAGACAGGGTCTTGCTACGCAGTTGAGACTGACATGGAACTAACTATGTAGCCCAGGTTGGTCTCGAACTCACAGATACCCTCCTGCCTCAGCCTCGCGAGTGCTGGGATTACAGGCTTGTGCCACTATGTCCGGCTTAAAAAGAACTTTTAAAACTTTATGCCCTTTGATCTAACAATTCCATTTCAAAGGATTTGAATGTGATCATATACATATTAAAATTGTATATGAGTTAATTTATATAGCAATTTGGCAGTTCAGTTATAGTTAAGAGTTGGAAACTGAAATATTTGTTATTTATTAGTGGCTGGTAATATATGCAATTTTTTTGTTGGGGGCGGTTTGAGACAGGGTCTCACTATATAGTTGAGACTGACCTGGAACTCACTATGTATCCCAGGCTGGTCTCAACTAACAGCAATCCTCCTGTCTCAGCCCCCCAAGTGCTGGGATTAAAGGCGTGTGCCACCACACCCGGCTATATGCAATTTTTTTTTTGAAAAAAATAATAATTTAGAAGAATAGTGACATGGGAAATGGGAAATTTTGCTGTATTATTACATAAACCTGTAAAAAATATAGTAAATACTGTGATATTAATGCTGAATTTCTCTAAAATATTTTTCATTCACTATATTTTTCAAGCAATCTACAAAGAACATGTATTTCCAAATATAAAAATACTAGTTTCCATAGTAAACACGTCCTTTTAAAAAAAAATTCTTCTACATTACATAAAGCACATATCTGTTTTTTTCATATATTTATCCTTTGTCTCATCTGACAAAAATTTGAAATGAGAAGGTGTTTCTTTGAATATTTCATGCCAGATTGACAGATACATGGTTTAGGTTAAATCCAAATTTAGTAAAAGTGGAATTTTAAAATAACAAATAGAAATTAAACCTTTGTGTATAATACCTGTCTCTAATCTAGCATTTATTATCACAAGTAGAATGAGAATTTAACTTTTATCCCCAGCAGAGGTCGCTTGTCCTCAAATCTCTTTTAATAACAGAATATTTACAGTTACAAGACCATTTTGGCAGACTGATGGGATGATTCTGTGTACACTAAGTTCGTGCTACAATTTGTTATACTTAACTATAAACTGGAGCTAACTACAGTATGTGGCTGATATATGTGAGTGAGAATCATTCAGCAAACAGACACCTGGCATTGTTGTGGTAGAGTAGTGCTGAATGAAGCAGAGTTTCCACCTTTATTGCACAGGTACCCAGAATAAGGAAATATATCTAAAGTGCTATATAAGAAAAGGAATGATGGGTTTAAAAAGCCAAGAAGAGTTATTTCATTAGATGTGCTGGTCTGGAATTTTACCTTTTTGGAGATGAGTGTTAGATATGATGGCTGTGTTAAGGCAAAGGAGATGCAAGCCAGGTGAAGAAGGTGTGGGGGAAAGAGTTATCCTGGCAGGGCAGAGGAAAGGACCCATGAATAGTGTTCTGGAGCAGAAAGGAATCTGCAGCGGTTGGGGTAAAGTGTAGTAGGATGGGATGAAGTTTGAGAGTTGTTAGAGCCTTCTAGGCTGTAGGTTTAAAAACAAAAGACAAGTTTTAAACATCCACTGTGACTTGAAGGGAAAGGAATAAATATGAGAAAAGTGAAAAAAAAATCCACTGTGACTGCTGTGTGGATAATGGGTGTGGATAAGGAGATCATAGGGGATTATTATAGTTGTGGAGCCCAACACAGTTGTTTTAAAGCCATGATAGCAGTGGAGCTTGAGAAAAATAGGTGGATTTGAGATATGTCTTTTAGTATAAGATCCGACAGTATATCTAAAGCTTTTAGCACAATGTTTGGTACTTGTTAAATCCTCAATATGTTTGATGTTTTCATTGTTTACCTTTTTATAAGCCAATGTTAAAAAGAATTAAGGAAGACAGTAGAAGAGCATCCTAGGATGGATGCAGTACAGGAAATAGTCAGTATTTCATACTGTTTCTGATTCAGAAAAAGAGGATGACCTGTTCCTTACTCAGCTATAGTTTTCTAGGCTGAGTCACATTTTTATTCACACTTTTATTTATTATTCAGGCTAGATGAATAGGCCAGATTTCCTGCGATTTTGTCTAGCTGAAAGGGTGAAAGTAAACTATACTTACCCTATGTATTAATATTGCATACATTGTATCACAGGTTATGATGAAGTTCCAGATAATTTAGCAATTTAGTTTCTTTTTATTCTAGACATTTTTAAATATAGGAAAATATAAGAAATAAAAGTTATATATAATCTAGATTGTTTTATTCATCATATAGTTGAAGTCATTGCATTAGTCTTTTGCCCTCTCCACCCCCATGTAACTTTGTGAGTGTTCCATATTCCTAGCTTCCCATCCACCTTCCTGCCTGGGGAGCGGAGCGACATCCCCAGCCAGTTTCCTTTTTATTAAAAGTTTAGTTTTTAATAAGTAATGAAAATACAGGACCCTTCAATAAACTTAATCATTCTTCTCTTCGGGAATATTTGTTTCTGTTTTTTTCTGTGATAGGTCATACCGTGAAGAATAGTCTTTGTGTTCTATATGATTTTGTATTTTAAAATCGTACTTTGTAAGTGCTTTAAAAGCAAGTACTGAATAGTGATTATTAGTTTTTAATATGTCAGTGCTTTAGAAATTGTGGGGTGGGCCTCCTGAAATAGTATCTTGAGGAGACATCATCTGGAAGACTTAGGATATAAGTTTTACTTTGGTCTTGAAATTAGCTAGAAATAAACTCAAACCACAAGGAATCTTTTTGTTTGTAGTTATATTGTTGCAGAAGCAACATATGTAGTAGATTGAATTGCAGATTTGTATGGGGGAAAGGAATTATTTTTATAGTCTAAATATGAATGCCAGATTTTCTTTGAAAACCAGAGTAGGTGGTAGATGATGAACCAGATTGGAGAATCAGAGATTTATGGGGGAAAGGAATTATTTTTATAGTCTAAATATGAATGCCAGATTTTCTTTGAAAACCAGAGTAGGTGGTAGATGATGAACCAGATTGGAGAGAGAGAATTGGTGATCAGTATCAGTGGTTATTAGAAAATACAGAGATGAAAGCAGTAAAATAAAAGCAGAAATATGTTTTGACTACACTGATGATTGCTGTGATTGCTACAAATAGCTCAGTGATCTTGATGCAAAATATCCTTTAAATATATAGCATAAGTCTTTTTCCAGTAGAACAGTATCAAACTAAAGATTAATATTCTTTATGCACCTTGTTTTAGATATTACTTTGAAGAAAGGGCATTAATACTGAATAATATATTTTTCTATATTCCACCTACTAGAATTAATAAATTCAGTAATTCAGCTAATGGTGGCTTATACTACTATATGGTATTAAATATGGTATTTGTTCAATCAGATATGGTCCTAAACAGTTTTTAGGATATAAGCAGTTTTCATCTTTGTATTAGTGCCAAATATATATTTTAAAGTTGCTAATACCTAAAATTCTACAAGTTAAAAATTAAGGACTTTTCAAAATAGCAAGGAGGCAATCCAAGATTAGTAGGACAGAAATATTTAAGACACACTTACTGGTTAAAAATGGGACAATTTAAGCATTATTTGGGATAATGACAAATGGATTGAAATTCTATAGCAAATAATGTTTAAATCTATGAAATTGTAAAGATTTCCCCCCGAATCCTGGGTATTCAATTTAGGACCTTGTGCATGCTAGGTAGCTGCTCTACCATTGAGCTTTATCTCCAGCCTGAAATTGTAATGATATACACACAAACCAAAAATGTGTCACCAGTGTAGGTAATGAATAAACTTTCTGTTTTGAGAATTGGTCAGTAAGGGGGAAGAATGAAAGCATTTATTGTTATATAAGGCATACTGTTGGATTAAATATGAGAGGAATTGTCTCTTCAAAGAGGAATAGACAAAAACATGACAAAATTAGGATGTCACATTTTTTATAACCACCTCATGAATACATGGTTCTAGGCATTGAATAGCATAGATACTCCATGATCACAAAGTAACAACCAGAATTATTTTTCCTTTTTGTGTTGCTAGGATTGAACCCAGGGCCTGAAGAGTGCTAGTCAAGTGTTCTGCCACTGAGCTACATTTCCAGTCCATATTGTGAGATTCTCATCACCACTTAAAAGGTGTTGTCCTTATAAAACTGAATTCAGAAGAAGCCTTTACACCCATCTATTTATAGAACTTATAGAAGAATAGGTTGAGAACCCTGAAAATTCCATCAGCAAAATTTAGTCTAGGACAAAAGTTCAGTGCAAACAACCTGGTTTATTCAAGATTAAAAATGCAGTGGATGGGGGCTTGGGGAATTTAGCTCAGTGATTCCGCCTCCTGCTTCACAAGTGCAAGGGCCCAAGTTCAATCCCTGGTACCAAGAAGAAAAAAAAAAAAGACATTTTTAGGGAAAAGTTTTAGCTCAATGGGAGGGTGCTTACCTGGCATGTATGAAGCCTTGGGTTTGATCCCCAGCAATGAAAAGGGAAAAAAAAAGGTATTCTGTAGTTTAAAAGACATCTCAATCACAGTTATGTGCACCATTTTGGCTCTGTTCACATAAAAAATGAAAAGCTATAACATTTGTAACAACTGGAAATTTGAAATTGAACATGTTATATTGAGGGACTTTTAAAGAAATTGTAATGATGGTGTGATTTTTGTTACAGTTCTTGTCTCTTAGACATACATTACTGAAATATCTATGAATGACATTATGTTTAAAATTTGCTTCACATTATTATATTGATGTGGAGATACTGGTGAAAGTAGAGATAAGATAAGATTGACTATGAGTTGGTAATTGCTGAAAGCAGACAATGAGTATGTGAAAGTTTATGTACTTTTTTTCTACCTTTGCATATGTTTGGACTTCTCTTTAATCATATATTTTAAAAAATGAGAACCTTGAAAAAGTCTAACATCAAGTCATAGAGATAAGTCATTTTCTGAAGATAGGAGTAATTCCTCTTTAAACACCTTAGAGAGCTGGGGATTTAGCTTAGTGGTTCGGCTGCCTGCCTCACAAGAGCAAGGACCTGAGTTTTATCCCAAGTACCAAATAAATAAACAAACAAACACCTTAGCACAAACTGCAGATGTGTCTCATCAGTAGGTTATAAATAAGTGTTGGTGGCTTATTACCTTCTTAGTTAATAATTCAAAAGATATTTTTAATAGGTCTGCAAAGTCAACACGAGGCTGCCATATTGAAGAAGATGCTTTTCTGGAACATGAGTTTCTTATGAGAATTGCCTTTGCCCCTATTTCACTAGTTTTATTAGCAGTTTACATACTTCATGTGCAGGCATCTTCCATTCTTATATTGTCTTATTCAGCCTTTAAGAAATGGATTCGCTTGGGAGGCTGACCCAGAAGGCTTATTACAAGTTCAAGGCAAGCCTGAACTGCATAGTGAGATGCTGTCTCAAAAAAAAGATGCAAAATGACTAAAAACATACTGAGCCTCAAATGATTTTCCAAAAACAAAACAAAAAAATGTGAAAGAATTTATTTCAGGAAATTTTCCAAGAAAATAAGTTCTACGCCTAAAACTTGAGTGACTGAGTGACTACTTGTCTGATTTCCTTCATGCTCTTCAAATTATCTTCAACATTCACAATAACTTAAGTTCCTGATGAATCCTCTGGACCATTAAAAAATGATTTTTCTTTATTTCAGAAGATATACTTCTGCATATGCACACACATGAATCAAAGTTTTAGATCATTATTAAGCCCTTAGAAAAATGTTAGCTCTTAAATGCTCACTCTTCCACTCTTGGAAAACCTGGGTTATTTACAATGGTATGATTTCATTAATATATCTTAAAATTTTTTTTGAGTTCTTTCAAAAAGGGGAATTCTAAGTACTCATAGTTAAAAAAGAGAAAGAGAGTCACAGGAGAGTAGAGACAAGTTCACTTTTCTATCACTTGGTAAACTGTGGAAAATATTTTCCTTCTGTGTTGCAGCCCTAAAAATCCTGTAGTCACCCCAGATGCGGTAGCTGAAGTGCTTCGCAATTAGTCTCCTGTTCTTTTCTCTGTTAGAATTTCCCCATATGGAGACATCTTACCAAATGTTGATCTCATTATCTGATTAAGGATCAGTGACTATGAATGACTAATGAATATAATTCACTTATTGATTGTGAGGTGAAAGAGGACTAAATCTTCAGCTAGTAGAAAGTGAATATGGGATAAGTTTTGACTAGGAAGGCCTCTTTGCCCTCCCTACCCCATCTTTTATTCTGAAAAATACATTATGCCAAAAATAACTTTAGCATGTCACTAGCATACAAAATAAAAACTATATTATATCCTAGACACTTTTCAGGACAGCTGAATAAATGATTGTTTTATTCGATATATTTTTAAAAGTTTCCATATAAATTTACAAATTAGAGAAAATTAAAATATTGTCTGAAGAGAAGGCAGCTTGTTAATTGTGCAGCTGAGAGTTGATTTGAAATAAAAATGATTTTTTTCTTTTAGAATGGCAGAATTTAGTGACATTTGGAAACTTTGCATACACGCATCATTACCCACATATTTGTACACTGAGCCAAGTAAAGTTGTACTCTACGAATATCCAGAAAGAAGGACAGGGGTCACAAACTCTCAGAGTAGAAAAAGTACCATCTTTTGGTGAAACAGGTATGTATAAATCTTTTCAAAATCTTTTTTACATATATACTTGAATGTTTTGTGTAAAAATTACTTGTTCCTTGAATATTTGATAAAGCTAGACTGATGTTTTCCTTGTAGGAGGTATTGAATTGCTGATTTTGGTGAGCTGTTTTTTCTAGGGATTTATTCACTTAAAATTTTAATACATTGGTATAAAGTTCATAATATTCTGTTTACAGTTGTATGTGTAGTTATGTCCTTTTTTGCTTTAGGAATTTTTATTACATTATTCCCTCTTATATACATTCACATACACACACTGTTTTGGAATTTGTCTATTCTCTGACTATATTTCAAAGTCTAAAACTGACATTTACTTTCATTTTAAAAACTACAAAGTTGCACTGGGGATTTAGCTTAGTGGTTCGGCCCCCTGCTTCACAAGCTCAAGGTCCCGAGTTTGATCTCCGGTACCAAAAAAACTACAAAGAACTTTAGAATGCTTTAGCTCTGATCACTGTCTCTCAACGTTATCTGTTGACTAATACTTTGTATCTATTCTGTTCTTTTCTCTTCTATATAGTATACATTATTGTTTAGATTTTAAAATATTTGTTAACCACTTTTCTTCTACAGAAGTTTCTTTAGGTGAGGATCTTTGGTGGCAAAGGCACATTTAATATGTTATTCCAGTGTATTTTGGCCTCCATTATTATATTCTGCCTTTGTTATCTTTTCTGTTAAAAATTTAATTACCGTTGTTTTAAAAATTTTGTGTGTGTTGGGCCAGGGATTTAGCTCAGTGGTTCTGCTGCCTTCCTTGCAAGCCCAAGGACCAGAGTTCGATCCCCGGTACCACACACACACACACACACACACACACACAAATTGGTGATGTGTGTGTGTATAAATGACAGTTTTATTTAGTGACTAAGTATAAATTTCATTGTATTTTTTCTGCTTGAGATGTGTTGGGATTCTTGGATCTGAGGATTGGTATTTTGTATAATTTGGGAATTCTGTCTACAGTTCTCTGCCATCATTTCTTCAGATATCCTTTCTGCTTGCCTATTATCTTTCTCCCTAACTCCAATTAGGAATATGTTAGATCTTCTCTTTTTCCATGTCTCTAAACTAAATCCCTCTGTCTTCTTTTCTTTTCTTTTTCTTTTTTTTTAAATTTTTCTAGTTTGCCTTCTAGATTATTTCCTCAGGTTTACCTAGATCACCGATTTCTTCTAGTCTGCTAATTGGTTGTATATTTTTAGTTACAGTGTGATATATTTCATATGAAGAAATCTTTCCTTGGTCTCTAATTCTTTGCTTATTTGTTCAGATTTTTATTCAATTTTTTTGTATTTTAAAATTGGAATTTTGTTTTGTTTTGTTTTATTTTTTGAGACAGGGTCTCACTATGTAATTGAGACTGACCTGGAACTCACTATGTAGCCCAGGATGGTCTCGAACTCACAGTGATTCTCCTGCTTCAGCCTCCTGAGTGCTGGGATTATAGGCATGAACCACCACGCCTGGCTTTGGAATACTTTTTGGTTCTCACTATATATTACCTTTTTCTTCCCTTTCTTGCTCCCATTAGTGATGCCTTGCCTGTGTTTTGTAACTGTGAGTTGGTTATTTTCCATGCAGTTTTTCTGTCTTGAAACTGTTTTATGTTTGTCTGAATTGAATTTGTGTTTTTGCACAAAGGATTTGCTTTTTCTTCAGTTAGCTGATAGGGACACAACTTGAGACCACATTAAATCAAATTCTCTGCTTTAAATATTGCATTGTTTGTTTATTTATTTATTTATTTATTTGTACCAAGGATCGAACTTGGGTCCTTGGGCTTGTGAGGCAGGTGGCAGCACCACTGAGCTAAATCTCCGCCCTGCTTTAGATATTTTAGACCACAATTGTTGGCCCAAATTTACACTGCACACTTGTATGAAGGTTGACTTGTCCTTAGGATTTACAGGGGAGTGTTTTATTTCTTCCTTGCTACTTACCACCAAAATGGAAGCAGGACTATTTTTTTTACTGTTCTCTTCTGTGATTATTATTTATTTCCTCTTCACAACTATACCTTGTATGTGGCTTTATTATCTGGATATCTCCTGTTTCAGTCCTCATCTTGAGTAGAAGCCAGCCTAATTCTCTGGTTGCCCATATCCTTTGCAGCTATGGAGGTAGAAGCTCAAAAACTACAAACTTCAACAGAAATTATTAGGGGAAAAGCTGCTTTGTTGTGCTTTTAGTCTGTAGCGGTCCTGCTTTCACTTTGTGTCCTTTTTGAATTCTTTTCCCCCCCTGGATTAGTGATACATTTAAAAATGTTTTGTTTAAGGTATCTAGGCTGTAATGCAGCATTAAAAGGAGCCCTTCATTCGCTTATTTATTAATTTAATATGGCAATAAATGAGAATGACTGAGTTTATAGTCTCCATTACTAAAGCAGAAAATCAAAAGATATTTTATGGTAAGTACTGGGATGGGGAAATTGAGTGTATTGCAGGAGCACATAGGAGGGATACCTGAGTCTTGAGTGGTTAGGGAAGCTTTTTCTAAAATGGTATCATTCAAGGGACACGATGAAAAGTAGTTACTGGTGTGAGGAATGGCTAATGATTGTAAAGGTGACTAACAGCAGTAATACAAATGAGGGTCTAGAGGTGGTGCTAGTGGTAATTCTTTTTAGAGGAAGAGATGAAATCAAGAGGTTTAAAAACTGAACAATTAGGATGTATTAGTTGCATTTAGAAAGAGTAAAAGACAATGCTTGGTTATTGCATCAGGCAAATGTATAGATGATTTCATTGATTTCTATAATTAGACATATCAAAGAATATATCTTAATGAGATGATAATGATTAGGTTTTGGACAACTAAACTGTATGTACTTAATGAGAAATTTTTTTGAGACAGGGTCTCACTATGTAGTTGAGACTGACCTGGAACTCACTATGTAGTCCAGGCTGGTCTCGAATTTACAGCGATCCTCCTGCCTCAGCCTCCTGAGTACTGGGATTACAGGCACTGCATTAATAGATGCAGTGATCAGTAGGTGACTAGTTATCCAACAAATCTCAGATGTCACACATCTTAACAAAACTACTGTCCTACTGTGACAATACCATCACTCCTTGCTGGATTACTGCAATAGCCTTTTCCCTGGGATCACTTCTACTCTTGACAACCTTTAATCCATTTTTCATATAGCCAGTGTGATCTTTTTAAAAACAGATCATGTTCATTAAAATTTTATCAGCTCCATTTATCCATTGAACAAAATCTAGGCTACTAGAATAAAATAAACTTTCATTATCCTGGCTCTCAAAGTCCTTACTTGCTGTTCTGTCCTTTATTGTCGAGTCCATTTTCTCCTATTACTCTCTTACTTGCTCATTATATTTCAGCCAGTCTCCTTTTGGTTCTTAGAAATACTAAGGTGGGGGCTGGGAATTTAGCTCAGTGATGCCGCTGCCTGTGTTATCCCTGGTACCCCCGAGAGAGAGACAGACAGACAGAGAGAAATACTAAGTAGTTCTTTTTTTAATTAATTTTATTGATACATTTTAGGCATACAATATGACAGTAATGTAAGCTGGTTCTTCTTGTGGGACCTTTGCTCCAGTTACTTTCTCTTGCCCAGGTGCCCCTATTCACATGGCCAACCCCTTCTGATTATTCATATCTTTGTTTTATGACACTGGGAATTAATCTCAAGGCCTTCACACCAAGATGTCTTCCCAGCCCTTTTTTATTCTTTGAGATAGGGTCTTGCTAAGGTGCCTAGGATATTCTTGAACTTGCATTCTGCCTGCCTCAGCTTCCTAGTGTGCTAGGATTATAGGTGTGAGCCACTTTGTCCAGCTAACACTTATTTTAAATGTCAGGTTTGCACAGAGGTGTTTTTAAATCCTCAAACTAAAGTATCCCCCCAATCTTTAATATTCCTATGATTTTCTGCATAGGTAACCCTCTTGATATTTTTAGTATTTCATTTATTTCATTTTATGCTTGTTAGCCTCATGACAGCAGGAACTTGAGTTCTTAGAGCAGTGGTTTGCACATAGGGTTTAAAAAATATTTGTAAATGAGGGAGTGTTTGGAATTTTAACCTGAAGGTAAAAATTAAAAAGGTTTTAGCTACATACAGATGGTTACTAAAGCCATGAGTTTAAGACAGTGCAGGGAGAGTGGTTAAAAAGGAAGAGATAAGATCTTTAGTGCAAAGTCACCCAAATGAGTAAAAGTTGATGCAGCTTGCAAAGCAGACTTGAAAAGGAATGGCTGGTGAAGAAGGAGTGTATAGTATCAGTTTAGAATAATGTTAGTATCAGAGTAGAATAATGTTTGAAGAATAAACATCTCAAGATAGTTTTCTCTTAGTTAGATGGCTCACAGAAGATTTTTTTTTTTTGTACCGGGGATCAAACTCAGGACCTTGCACTTTGAAATTAGTCGGTGGAACCACTGAACTAAATTCCTGGCCCCAGAAGATCTTATTGATTCCTGAGAAACTTTATTCATGTCAGTAAGGTCTGCTTTTCATTCTTTTTTCTAAGCCCACCCTTTTATGGGTTTAACTGTGGACTTCTAGGTAGTTTCTTCTCCATCTCTTGTTATGATGGTGAACTGCTGAGATAAATATTAAGAGTTGGATATTATAGCAAGAAGGAATGGAGAATGTATTGAGTTTCTAAGTTGTAGAATTAAGCATGTTTTAGTAGAGCACAGTAAAGACAAAACATGATGAAATAATATAATGGTAAAATATATTAATATATTATTTAATATATAACAAAATATATTCTTAAATGATTATACACTCAGGCAAATCTATTGAATGTTGGTTCCACTGTGCAGAACCTTTAAAGTTGACATTCAGTAGGATTCTTTTATCTTCAGTGGCTGGAATAAAAATGTTAGTTTATTTGTATATTAGAAATACATTGTTTATCGACAGTTTTATTTTGAGCTCTATTTTTCAAGATTTGCTTAGGCCAAATTACATCTTGTTAGCCATTACATAGACACCAAGTAATTGCTTGATTGAGAGATAATTTGTATACTTAAGGGTTTGAGATTGACTTTTGAATAATTCAAATCACATGGTAAAGTCAGAAATAGCTCGTTAAGAAGCAGACTTGCTAGGGCATCCTTAAAGTTTTAAGGAGCATTTCGATGTTTCAAATTTTAGTAAAATTAGTTTAATTTTCCTAATGACAGCAGATGTGTGGCAAACAGCCAGGATTGAGCTTAAAACAAATGTGTAGAATACTCTAGCTCCAGTGATGCAGTGTGACTGATAGATGGTGGTGTGCAAAATAAGTATTCATACACATGCTTGAGCCATTTGCTAACATTCTTGTTTGTGCTTCATAACACCACATATTTAGTAACATCTAGACAGTTTGTAGTGAGAAGAATATTCAGTATCCATTTTAGAGAAACTTGTTTTATGTGATTTGGTTGAGTGATCATTGTAGAAAGAAGGGCAAAACTTTTTTTTTTGGTACTATGGATTGAACTCTGGGCTTTGCGCTTGCAAAGCAGGCAGCGAAACCACTGAGCTAACTCCCTGACCCTTCAGAAACTTTTGACAGTAAATTTCTCAGTTGTTCAGACACTAGGTAAGAAAACATTACTTCACCCCTTTCCCTTCCCTTTGTTCTGTTTTGTTTCCCAGAACAAAATTAAAAAAAAATAGATATATAGATTTTGTACAAGAGTATGTATGTTCAATTAAACAATAGAAATATAATCTTAAACATTCTAAACAAGCTATTGGGGGTTAGAGTAAGAGGAGGATATTGAAAATTTGAACAATGTAACAGATGGTGAAAGGTGAAAAAAATTAAAGGGAAAGTAAAAGATGGTAAAGTGAACTAGACATTAAGATGGCAGTTGTCCAAATGTACCACAAAAAAGTGATCAGATTTAATGTGTTCTGTGCCATTTAAATGCACTCATATTGTAAATATGTGGAAGCAGTTATTTTTTATTTAATTACATTTTCAGAGATTACATTAATTACTCTTCATTCTTGTACAATATTCTGGATTCCATGCTGTCTCATCTGCTCGAGGACTTTGCTTTTTGATTATTCTCTTAAGCTGTAGCACCAATTTCTTCTTTAGTGTATCATTCTTATCTCTACGAAATACAGTCAACCTTTCCATGATTCTCTTTACCTCCTCCAAGTCCAAAAACTTCTCCCACTTCATCTCCTATTGTCTCCTCAACCTACTCCATGTTAACTATTTTGTGAAAACTGCTTTTGTCAAAAGTGTCAGTGACTTAAATATAAAATGCTTAGAGTTATGTTTGGCACACTGTCAGGGATCAAAGAAAGCCAAAAGAAAGATTATTATTATTCACTGCTATATGAATTATGAATATAATTTATCTGTATGATTTGTCTGTTTTGCTGATGGGCATTTGGATTGATTCTAGTTTGCAACAAAACTGTAAAATACAGTGTTGCTCTGTTCATGTACCACTCTTGTGCCCTGGTGCAAGGGTTTTTTTTTCCCTCTTTTTTGTGGGGGGTACTAGGGATCAAACTCAGGACTTTGCGCTTATGAGGCAGTTGGCAGAACCACTGCGCTAAATCTGCGCCTTGTGCAAGGGTTTTTTGAAGCCTAATATACTGACCTAGAAGAATTGCAGGCTCATTTCTATTGCTTATGTTCTCACTTATTAGATAATGCCAACTTTTTTACCAAGGTAACTGTGCCTGTTTATATTTTGACCATTAGTTTATGTTTCCATTGCTTTATACCCGTGGTGAATTAAGTATTGTCATATTTTCATGTTTTCTAATCTAATGGTAGTAAAATAGCATTTTGTGGTTTTTGTTTGCATTCCATTAATAACGAACTAACCACCTTTTATACGTTTATTAGTTATTTACATTTCTGTTTCTACGTAAGTTCTCATTTTGTTTGTTTGTTTGTTTTTTTGGTTTTTTGAGACAGGGTCTCACTATGTAGTTGAGACTAGCCTGGAACTCACTTTGTAGCCCAGGATGGTCTCAAACTCATAGCGATCCTCCTGCCTCAGCCTCCCGAGTGCTGGGATTACAGGTATGCGCCACCACGCCCGGCTTAAATTCTCATTTTTTATGATTGATCTGGAAGACTTTTTAAAATATTCTTGATATTAGTTCTTTATTGATTCCACTTGTTGAAAATAGCTTTCATTTTGAGATTTTTTTTCTTTCTTTTTTACGTGGGGTGTTTTGATAAACATTCTGAATTTTAATGTAGCATAATTTTTAAAAACTTTCTTAAAAATAAAAAACCCTTTCTTTTTTTTTTTTTTAA